GGTACAGGAGGGGATTGACCCTCCTTCTCTAGCAGAGCATGTGGTGGATTTGAACTGTGTTCCTTCGGTACTGCAGTGAAGCTTCTTGCCACTAGGCCACCAGAGCTCCATGCAAGAAGTTTTTGTGAAATTCTTTTTATAGTAGTTTGGTACCAACAGGACATTTAAAAATACAGAGGTAAGTACTGTGCTGATGTAGAATAAAGAGGGCCAGAGCAGAAACACCCACATAACATCCTATATTGGACTAGTTGGATTTTAGCAAAGGACAACTTAAAAGTGTAATCAAAAGCCCACTCCATAGCACAGCGCTGAGCTGCTTCAAGGGGTTCCCAAGGTCTGTAAATCTTCACAGGAGATCTTTGTCTCCTCCTTCTCCTGTGAAGCTGTCAGTGGGGTTAAGCAACTAATTTTTCGTTACAAAACCAACTCATAACTGGCTGCCAGACCAGGTTACTTTAAAGCGCTTTGTTCTGTTGAGTGCCTCAGAGTAAAAAAATAACCCGCAGCTGACCCTCCAGCAGGTCTTCAAATAACACGTTTGGAGACTGTCCATCTTTCTTCTGCGGAGCAGCTGGTGGGTTCAAACTGTGGACCTTTGCATTGGCAGCTCCATTCCATCACATATTAGGAGACATTTCTTTTTCTGCCCCTAAATTTTTATCATTCTTACAAAACTAAGTTTAGTGATGACCACTGAAACATGTTAGGGGGGAACAATCCTTTCCCTGTTCAAATGAAGTAAAAGACATTTTTTTTAAATTCCCATTTATTTTTAGAAAATGTTTTGATGATTTTAAAAGGTCACAATTTTACATTAGGCTTTAAAATAAGCTTCTTCAGCTACTTTTAACTACACAGTCTTTTATATACACACACATCTACACCATTTACATTCCTTTTCTAAACATCTACTTTTGAAGAATGTTGTACTTAAAGAGCGCATATAAATAGAGAAAACATATATGCAAATAAATAAGTTATCATTGACTTGGATGAATCCAAAACAGAAACACAAATTTAGTACAAATGAGATGAGACACCAGAGAAGGCTTCCTGAAGGTGGTAAAATCTGAGTTGAGTTTTGAAGGCTGAATCATCCATACCAGTCCACTAACGCTGTGTTGGTTAAACTCAGAGTAACCCTCCATTGAGTTTTCAAGGCTGCAAATCTTTATGGAAAGAGACTGCTCCTCTTTCTTCCTCTAGAAGGCTAGTGGATTCAAACCCGTGATGTTTCAGTTAGCAGGCTAATACACCACACACTATGCCACTAGGGATCCTTTGAAGGTTGAACAGGAGATACCAAATAAGTAAGTATGAGAAATGAGAAAGACATACAGTTAATTTTGAGAAGCATTTCAAAAAGAAGATGAAGAGACAGCAAAGGTTAACTTTGAGCACATTTCAACAGCAGGGAAAAGGCTATGCAAATGCCAGCCTCCCAGTAATGAAGCTGGTGAGATGGAGAGAGGGAAAACAGTGTTTAGGAAGCTGGAGAGAGCTGACATGTACAAGTAGCCCTCCAACTGGTTCCATGTGAAATATAAACGACCCAGGCAAATTAACAAATGAAATACAAGCAAATGTAAAAAATTTTTCTTCATTATAGATATGTTGTTATTATGTACCATCAAGTTGGAAATGACTCATAGCTGATCCTCCAGTAGGTTTTCAGAGGAAGTAAATCGCATGAGATGGGCTCATCTCTCCGATGGAGCAGCTTGGTGGATTCAATCTATGTATGTATGAGTTGGCAGCACAGCTCCTTACTACTAAGCCACTAGATATAGTCTCATATCTGCATAGAGATCTATTTATACGTGTGTGTGTGTGTGTGTGTGTGTGTGTGTGTGTGTGTGTGTGTGTGTGATTGTTAGATATACTGTCAAGAACAAGGAACAATATGAGTGCAAGGGACCTTATGAACAACTGATTTGACCCTTGCCTTATCCTGTGCCATCCTCACAATCTTGCCCACACTCAAACTCACTGTTACAGCCACATTTTGTTAGGGATCTTTGTTTCTCCAACCCTCCACTTTTCCCAGCATGATATCTTTTTTCCAAGACTGGCCTCTCCAGACAATATGCCCAAAATATGGGACAAGGAAGTTTCACTATCCTTGCCTTTTTGGAGCACCATGTTTGCACTTCCTCCAAGACAAGTTTGTTTGATCTTTTGGTAATCCATGGTCTATACAATACTCTTCCTCAACCCCACAATTAAATGGCAAGAATTCTTTGTGTTCTTTATTCACAGTCCAACTTTCAGATGTATAAAATACAACTGAAAATACCATGGCTTGGATCAAGTGCATCTTAAGTCATTAAACTGGCATTCTTGTTCTTTAGCATGTTAAAGAAGTCTGTATTTAAGGAGCTTAGGTGGCCTAGTGGCAAGAAGCTGCACTGTAATCCCAGAGGTATGCAGCTCAAATCCACCAGATAGATTCTCTGCTGGAGAAGGAGGGGCAATCTCCTCCTGTACCAGTCACATCTGATTTGATAGTACACACAAAATAATAATAATAATTAAAAAGTTATAAAAAATAAGTCTGTATTTATGAAACACAGTACAAAAATATCCGTGTTAAAAAGGTCTACACTAACATGCACATACGCATACATAGAGTGAGAACAGAACCGAACAGCACCATAATGTTTCTTTACAGAAGCAGATTACTTCCTCTTTTTTCTCCTGTGTAGCATCTGATTGGTTCAAACTGCTGACCTTTCTGTTAGCAGTCTAGCACTTAATCACTGTAGCATCAAGACTCCTTATAGAGAGATAACAGCTTTAGCATCTGCTTCACCAAGTCTGAGCACCTGAAACAGCATTTGACTCTACAGGAAGATTCAACGACATTGAATTTTTAAAACTTCAATATAAAACTGACTAAACTTTACTTTTAAACTTTGTATGGTGAAATGAGGCCCTTTATGTGGTTTTTTTTTTGCTGTCTTGGTACTTTGGGGGAAGGGACAGAAACAAATTTTACAGATTTCCCCCTAGAAGCTGAAGAACTACTTATATCTGCGTTTTCTACCTCCATGTGACACTCTGCCTAGGTTCATTCACAAACTTCCTGAGTCAACTATAAATAAGTTTATTTTGTTAGGTGTTTGTCTAGTTTTGGGCTGCAGCCTGCCCTGTAATTGGTATACAGCTTGTAGGGATTAGACAATAGGATATACAGTGTGTCACAGTCCAACCACATCTACTATGCAAATCAAGTACCTGTGGTCAACCAAGAAGAGATTGGTTAGTTTCCCTGCTAGGAAGGGTTATGCCTTGAAACTGGCAAGAATTTGAGATTTGTGTCCAACAGTGAAAATTTACTCTGGTGGTCTACTTTGTGGGGATCTGCACCACTAACTCAAAGGCCTTGCCTTTCAGGAGGCAATTTACAGTTTCCTGAAAACTCACTGGAGGGTCTGCTATGAGCCGATTCCAACTTGAGGGCAATGAGTTTGCATTTTTGAGATCTGCATTGAAAGAAGCAGCTTACCAACATGTCTCCTGATCTGAGTTGTAGCCTATGGCTTGGTGAACCACTGTAGGTAAACTCACTGAATTAGAACTGACTCATATGTAACTCTCCAGTGGGTGTCCAAGGCCATGTGACTACATGAGAAGAGATCGCCTATCTTTCTCCCTCTGAGCTACTGGTGGATTTGAACCACCAGAGAGATGAGGCCATAGGATTAGCAGTGCAAATTCCTACATACTAAGGGTCCCAGAACTCTCTATATTTTTAAAAATAATTTTAATGAGCATTTACAGAGATTTTGGATTTACTCAATTTAAGCCTCTAGTCTCTCAATCGTCCATGAAGAATGCAAAAGATCATTACAAAGGCTGAAAAAGAAGAAAAGACAAGATGGATGTCAGATGAGACTCTGAATATTGCATTAGAGCACCAAGAAGCCAAAATTAAAGGAAGAACCCAAGAAATCAAAGAGCTAAACAGAAAATTTCAAAAGGCAGCCCGGGATGACAAAGCAAGATACTATAATGAAATGTGCAGAGAGCTGGAGTCAGAAAATCAAAAGGGC